TATTTTGTCAGGGAAAACTAATCCTGAGTCAGTTAAAAGTCAGGGAATTCTGAAATGATGTCAGACGGTGGAAACCCTGAATAAAATAACTATGTATAATGATTCTCTAGAAAAGTCACATTATATTAATAGTATTATCTTGTATAAACATACCGTGACTCTAAAATAAAAGTTATTCATTGGGACATTGAATTCTGTCTTGTGATTTATCTTAAGTTTTTAACCTGTCAAGTTTTTTTTTAGATTTTTAACATTAAAATGTATATTTTTCCAAGCACACGACGGTTTAAAGCAAAGTTTAGTTTGAAAAGAATGTGCAGGAAGGATTGAAAAGCATGTAAACACGGTAATGTAGGCTTGAGTTCATTATCTGACGCATGCAGATACACACCAGGAACCTGGAAACTTAAAAAATACTGAATTACAAAAAACATTAAAAAACAAACATGATTCATTGATATATATACAAAAATGAATATTAGGAACTCTATTTATCAAACATTAAACTGGGCAAGTAAAAATTGTTTCCGGGCAAATGAAACGTGAAAGTCACTTGCCCAAAGGGCAAGTGGTAAAAATCCTTAATGTCAACCCCTGACATATCTATGTAATGGTGTGCGATTAAAATGCGTTAATTTTTTCATGTCCCAGCCTTGGGAAAAATATGGAAAGATCCTTTATGACTTTAATCAATTCGTTGATTGATAACTTGCCTCCATGATCAGAAAATCAAAAGCATTCAATCTGAGTTAAAATCAATAAAACCAGAGAGGAATCCATTTTTACAACAGGATGAACGTGCAGTACCTTCGGCGTTGGCTGCGCCTCGCTGGGTGAGCAGACAGGAGGAGCATTCCTTCTGGAAGCTCCTGGCCGTGCGGAGCTCTCGGCAGCGGTTCAGGAAGGCCTGCTCCTCCTTCTGGGTGTGCGCCGCCAGCACCTCCTTGGTCAGTCCCAGCCTCTTGTAGGCCTCCTTCTCCTGGCTGGGTGGAGACACCATACTGACCGGCACAGCAGGGGGCGCTGGGCTCTCTGCAACGTCTTCGATGATCTCTGAAACGTCGAAAAATGATGTCAAACACAAAATACTGTTAAACTGATACATTCTGGATTTTTTTTTTTTGTCTTATTTGCTCGGTGACACTTTTAAAAAGGATTTTAAAAAAAAACAGAAACTAACCAGATTCCGGTTGAGGCTTCTTGTCTCCTACGTGGACGATGGTGCTGCTGTAGCTGCACTGCGAGGTGATGGACACAACGCTTTCAGCCTTGCTGTGCAGAGCGAGGGGCGCCAGGGTGCCCCCCACCACAGCGGCGGCCCCGGACGGGGGCTTCTTCGGCGCTTTCATGTTTGACAGGCCAGGCTGGGCGTCCAGCATCAAAGGATCTGCAGGACATCAGAACGTGTTTTGATGAGCGACTGATAAAAAGGTTTAACTGATGCGTGCACCAGAAGTCGCCGTACCTGTGTGCGTCCCCTGAGGCGCCTGCATTCCGTCTTCTGAGCCCCTCTTGTCGTCATCTGAGTTTGAAGACGTGGTGTTCGATGAGAACTGGTACTTCCTTTTCACCGTGATGGGGACGTTGCAACTCTCCAGATACCTGAAGCGAGAATAAAAGATTAATCAAAGACTCGGGGGTTCAGATTGACGACCATGAACGTCGGTCACACACCTGATGACGCTGTCGAGGCAGCTGATCTGCTGGTAGGAGCACACAGACTGGTCTTTGTAGGTGAAGTCGTCCATGCTGGCTGCGGCGTTGTCTCTGTAGTGTGGTTGAGGGGCGGAGTCTCTCACGCGGACCCCTGAGCTCCTCTGAGCTGCAGAGAGAAGAAAGAGATGGAGAGTCAGGAACGATCGGAGCTTTAACCTGCAGATTCTCAGTGGCGGCTCCCTTCTAGTACGCAGGGTTCTACAGCTACAGAATGATTAATGGCAGGATCATTATCTTGATCAACTGGATTATGTTCATTATGGTCAGACAGGCATCCCCAAAATCGGTCCTGGAGGGCCGCTGTCCTGCAGGTTTAAGAGGTTTCCCTGCTCCAGCACAGCTGATTTACATTGATTACATCGTTTACTGAACTGCAATCATCAGAATCAGCTGTGCTAAAGCAGAGAAACCTCTGAAACCATGCCTGTTTTAAGGTGTACTTTTTTGCTTTAAACATCTTAAAACCACCTTTATTCCCCACTTATTACAGCAAATAAAGCAAAAGCTACCATCTTTACTGCATCTGCCTACATAGAGAGCAAGAACACGAGTCAGAAGGCTTGAAAAACACTTTCCTCAGATGTTATGGCAGATGAAGCCTCTCTACTTCAGTTACTATCTTTGCATTAAGATTTTACCATTAGGGTCCAGGTATTTAAAATCAATATCATGCTTGAGACTTCACTCCAACCAGATCCAATTTTGATGGTAAGTTTAATTCACTCCCAGTACAACGACAGAAATTGCTATCATAGATGTTAATTACAGCTAAGAAACTACTTGACCGCGTCTTGGTTCTGTTAAGTTTTCTGTGAGTTTTTAGTTTCGCGTTGATCCACGTTTTTTGGTGTTTTCTAGCTTTATTGGTGTTTTTCTGGATATATTTGGTTTTTATTTGCTTGCCCTCTGCTGCCCTCTTGTTTTGCTCTCCTTCTAGGATCCTCTGTTCACACCTGCTCCCAATCGGCTCATTAGTCCCGTCTTTGTTCAGTCTTCCATAAATACTCTCTTTGAGCAGTTCCTCAGTGCTGGCTCCTCGTCTTTTCTTGCACGTTTTCCCTGATATCTCAATGGTTCTGGTATGTTTTGCATTTGCACCTCAACCAAACCTCTGACACTACTCTTACAATTTTGGGAAAAAAAGTGAGACCCCTACTGTTAAAATGTGGCCAGATTAAATGATCTGATTTCTGCACCTAGAAAGGATACGGTATGCGCTCTATAACTAGTGATGGTGAGATGAAGCCTCATGAGGCATTGAACCATTTGGCCAAATTGCTTCAACGATCCCCACAGTTCATGAGGCTCCATGTAAACATGTCACCACCTACTGGTGGACAGCAGAACTACAGTTTGTAATAAAATCTGTGCTTTTTTTTTGCAACAGTTTCCCCCCCCCCCCCTTTTAGGTTCCTTTGAAATTGTTAATGGTTGGTGTGTATAATAAAATCTTTTGTAATTTTTTTAAGTGTAAAATTTCTTAGAACAATCATAAAACTCAAGTAGACAGTGAAGGTGTTTGTGCAAATCAGGCAATGATGAGCAAAATGAAAGGATTTGGTCATTTTTATTCAAACATGATAGTTTTTTGGTTTTAATCAGGTTGGAAGTTGTGTTCAACCAATCTTTTAGCTAAACCGACCTAATTTACCCTATCTATATTTTTACTCGGGCAAAACAGTGAAAATTAGTCTCATCAGCCAAAATAATTAAGTTTAATCGCAACTTTCAAAGTCAAAGACAGGTCTTGAACCATCAACCTCTGGAGTGAGAGCCTGTCTCTTACAGCTGACGCCACCTATATAGGTCACCACAGTAAGGAGGAAACTGACTTTTTCCGGTGGCTTACTCAGGTTTTGATCATTACATTGTTTATTCAAACCAAATTAGTTTTAACCAACTAGATTGGTTGGAAAAACAACCAATCTATTCTTAGAATCTATCCAAACTCTATCCAGCTGACAGCAGCTCTCCTCCAAACTCCCACATCTTGACTGAACACTGAGGCTGTTTAGATGCCTGTCAAAATTCTTGCGCTTCCCGAACCACTTCCCGAAGCGGTCACGTGGTTTCACGGTTGCCTCGGACGTCATCAATATTGGCCCCTCCCCTAAATGAATCACGCCTCGACACGCGCTTCGGGGAAACGCCCCGTCCATTACTCGACACACGCCTCGAAGCCTCGGCTCATCTCATAACATCACTATCTATAACCAACTGGAGAAATTCGGGGAGATTCGGTATCCGCTTCTCCTGGACATTCGTTGATTATGTTAAGATGTTGTTTTGTATCCATAATATCTTATTGCCTCAGCAGTGTAATGGATCAGTAAGTCCTTGGGCTGGTTATGTGTTTGTGTGAGGGTGGCCTTTGTTATTGTTGTTGTGTGTGGGTTCTTGTTTCTGTTATTATCTCCTACTTAAAAAAAACTCTGAATGTGTAATATTATGAAATGTTTTTCACAATAAAAAAATTTGAAATAGAAAAATTATTTACTCCAGGACGTAAAAAAGTGTTTTGATGCCTGTTTGTCTATATTGAGACGAGACCAGGACGCCTTTCTGATCGTCAAAATGTGTTGGGTGTGAACCCAGCATTCAAGCTTTAGGTGAACTCTCATCAGGACAGTGAAGTAACCTCTCAGCTGCAGGTTTATGAGAATAAACAACACTAAACTTACTGTCTGTGGCCTTTCTTTGCTCCGGTTTGGACTGCCACACTGACGAGGTGCGCATGCAGACGTGAGGGTCCTGGTTCTTCAGCATGTGGACTCCTTTACAGATTTCCTGAAAGGTCCTGGAGGGTTTGGTTTTGCCCGTCTCCTCCGCCGTGCTCCCTGCTGGGACGTTCCCATTGCTTTCGCTGGAGGAGCTGATGCTCACCTGCTGCTCGTGGGACCCGTTGCTGCCGTAGCTGCCGTAGCCACTGGAGCCCATGTTGTGAACCGGCTGTGAGGAGGCAGATGGTTAATGGAAGAAACCGGTTTGAAAGGTAAAAAGCTGACGCGGCGCGTGGTTGTGTTTACGTACCTGCAGCAGCAGCCTGTGGATCTGCTCGCTGATTTCCTGGATGTCTGAATCCATCATCTTCCCTCCGTGGAAAGCCGGCGCTGCAAAGACATCTTCGTTGACAGGACCCCTGCGATCCACAGAGACGTCAGGATTATCCACAGATTTCACGAAGGAAAGTCCTACATTTCAAACACGATGGAGGTACTCACATGCGAACTTTGTGCCGCCCGATGACGAAGGACACCTTCCGGCTCCAGGGATTCACAAAGCTGGACCAGCTGGTGTCGATGGTGATGTATTCACCGTTTCTTGCACAAAACCGGATCGAGGAATGGTCAAACGGCTGACCGGCACACTGCAGAACTGCAACAGGAGACAGCAACCCAATCATTGAATGCAAAACTATAACGGACAAACTTTTGCATGTTTTTCAATAATCTAAAGCACAGCGCAAAGGTAAAAAGGTTTTAACAACATAAAACGTGACTCAATTTCTCATCTATACTTAATAACGCCATTTATTCAGCTCTGGACTTTGACTAGGCCATTCTACCATGATTAAATTTTGATAATGCTGGTGAGGATTCTCAGTCATCCAGGTCATAGTCATTCCAAAGAAAAGTTTGCTTCCAAGTTTAAAGACGTTTCTCTTCCCATCCAGGAAGCTTTTTCAATTCAAAAACTCAGGAATAGTGTTGAGTTTCCAGGTTTTATAAAGTAGCCCAACAAAGCTTTGTTTTTGTTTAGTAAACATGCAAACTGAAACAGATGATGGGTCCACCCCTTTGGAATGGGGGTCTTTTTGCTTCTTTTGTTAGCCTGCAATGCCCCATACCTGTCTATGTCTCTGAAAGGGGGGTCGTTAGAGGGAATAGTTGGCCTGCAATGCCCCATACCTGTCTATGTCTCTGAAAGGGGGGTTCGTTAAAGGGAATTGTTAACCTGGCTGAACAGGCGAGGTTTTCTGTTCCCCTGTAAAGGGTTTGGGGCTGCAATGATAGCGGGAAGTAATTCACTCAATCGCTGCATTTTAGGTTTTTGAAAGCTGAAATCTGAGTCCACCCCCTTCCTTTAAATGTATACTATGCAACTGGTGTTTATTTTCCAGCGAGGCTCCCCCCAGAGGGCGAAAGTAAAAGTGCACTGTCGTAAATATG